TCAGATTCGAGTTTTCCTCAAGTAAAATTGTCGTATGTCATTAATATACCTCTGTGTGATTTGTTGGCTTCTCTACTTTAAAGCCATCAATTACCCTTACATTGTATCATCTTTGTCATCCACAATTACTAGCTTCTCTCTAACTTCATCTCTTTATCTTTGTCATTTACATCTGTATTATCTCAAGTTTTTCTTTTATGTCAATTTTTTTAACAATGTCTATTCTTTTTTTCTTTTATTTGCTATTTATAATTTATTATTGTTTCTGTAATGACATCATTTGGTCCTCAGTTTGTTTCTTTAGGTCTGTTATTGCCTAAGAAACCAAGAAATTTCTTTATGTCCCCTAATTTTCTTTTCTTCTATGTATTATTATTATTTTCAAGATATCTCTCCCTCCCCTCATCTCTTTCTCTCTCTCTCTCTCTCTCTCTCTCTCTCTCTCATCACCCACCAAGCTGCTTCTTTATGTTGGTAACATTCTTGCATAGCTCTACTCTGGATCTTTACTCTAATAGATGAAATAGTGACCCTCTTTTCAATCTGAGATTATTTTTATTTCTCCTGCAAACAATTGAGGTCAATGTATATAATTCCATTCTCTTTAGTACTCTAAGAGAGACTATAGGGAGGAAGAGGTTTAAATAAAGAGATAGGCAATTTTTGTTAGACTGCTTCAGCTCTGCTCTTTCTTTTAAGATTCTGCCTTATTTCATATTCATGGGAGGAAACACTCAGGTTTTGTACCATTTCCCCATCATAGTTCAGAATCTCTACCTTTTTTGAGGTGCAGACTCTTTATACCCATTTCTCCATAGGAGTTATCTTATTCAGAACAAGAAAAAGATAAGCATTTAATACAGTTTGTTTCTTTCCATATTTTGAAATAAAGGTGAGAGATTTCTGGCTCCTGAAAAACTGATGATTACAGTTAGAATCTGAGCCAAGTTGGGTGCTGAACAGTGGTATTGGAGAAACACACACACTGTTAGGCTGACCTATAGGAAAGGTTCTGGGTTCAAATTCAGACAACTCCATGAACATGCCAACCATGATTTGGGGTTGCCTGAAGTTGGGGCTTGATCATGGCATGAGATCACCTTTTAGGGGGCTTGTATCTCTCTCTCCCTCAGAAAGAAAGAAAGAAATTTGAGCCATGTTGCCTCTCTGTTTCACTTCATAATCTTCATCTTTTCTTAACATAAGATTTTGAAGCTTATTACATTATGTTATTCTGCTGAGAATATTGATAATGACTTTGGGGATGGGACTTCTTTTGTACTTTTCTGATTCCATAGATATTATGAAAGGGTAATTTAGTTCAACCTTAGTGAAGTTGAATAGTTTTCCTTGCCAATTGTCCAGAGCTCATATCTTCTACTTTACTACTGATGTCCCCAAACCAAGACATTTCATTCCACCATTTGTCAAACCACAAGTTCACAACAGGTTGTTAAAGCAGACAATTAGGGGCCAGCAGGTAGCAGGGTGTTTACAGTGCTGGAGTCCTAAATGATTGACCATGGTTTGAGTACTGTACCTGGCAGCATGAAAGTCATGGCTGGTGCATCTGTGCCTGAAATCCCAAGAGGAGAATGGAGAAGAAGGGATTGTGGCATGGCCATCCACCCTGGGAGGTGATTTCTCACTTTCATTCTTACTGTCTTTGTCTTTCTCTAGCAAGTGCATGCTCCCTATGGCAAAAAATCTTTAAAAACAAAAATTCAACCGTGGCATGAAAAAGGATCAGCATGTCCTTGAAGTGTCCCCCAAATGCATTTTGTTGTCTTCAGAGGGAGATATTACTTTAATTCTTTACACCTGTCACTAAAGACATATTTTTCAGTATCTGAGCTCCCCAGAAATCAATATTCTAATTAGAAAACAGCAGCTAATCTGGCCAAATGCTAATAAATGAGAGTTGTGATTTATCTAGCAACAGAGAACAGCTCAGCATTAACAATTAAAAGATCTGTAGGGAAGAAAGCTTTTTTTCTTATTCTTCCCCTTAGCTGGTTGGGTTCAGCCTTATACTATAAATAGCCCTTGTAATTAATGGCTATCTATTTGAAAATCAGTTATCAGAACCACTGTTTAGGAACCTTTACCTTTGAGATTTATAGAGCCTATTTTATTTTCCAATGATAAGGGACTGAGAGTTCAAAGCTGTATCTACTACCTGCAAAGACAAAACCACATCACAACCTACCAAGACATTCTTCAGGCCTTACTATAATATATACAGTTTTTAAAATAATCAATATAACTACTAGAAGTATTGATCATGAGTCAAGACAGAATGGTTGACTAAATCCTGCTGTATCCCAGTCATATCGTGGATCTACAGGTTAATGTCAAAGTTTACATCAAAGGCATGAATTTGCAATTAGCTTAAAAAGTCTTTCAGAAACCTCCATAGAATTATTATTACTTTTCTTACTGAGGAAATTAACTGAGCAGTTTGGAAGACTCTACTTTATCATGACTGTACACAGAATCAAAGGGGGAAAATAGTATGTCTAAATCAAATTGAACACAATCTTCTAAACACTCCTCAGAAGGATCCTATTTTCGGAAATGCCACTTGGTGCTAGAGTTAATCACACATGTTCGTGGAGGGTTTGCCATTCACAGTAGAAGTTGCTCACATATCTGAACTGTTTTCTTCTAGTATGTTTTCTACTTCATTCACTATAACCAACTTATGTGATACCCATGCAGAACTCATCAGGTTGTTCCGTAAGACCAAATATTCATTTAAACCATTTCACTATATAAATGACCATTTTTGGCTGACTTATATGTCATCTCTACTAAGCCATTACATCACCACTACTATCCACAACCTAATTACTGTTTTTTTTTGTGTGTTTTTTTTTTTTTTTTAGAGAGAGAGAGCTTTTTGTATAGGGCAAGTACATTAGCCAGAGAGACAGAGTGAGACAGAAAAGACAGAAAGTGAGAAATTACCCTCTAGAGGGGATAGCCACGCTATAATACCTTCTCCTCCTCAGGATTTTGGACATGCACGTACATGTGCCCAGTGTGAGTTTCAAGCTGCTGGTCTGGGATTCAAACCAGAGTTGACTACATGGGAGTCCAGTGATGTAACCATTATGCCATCTGCTAGTCCCAATGTCTTTCTGTCTTAATACCAATAACCTTTGGTTTCATTATTCCTTCTCTCCTCAAGGAAGTCTTATTCTTACTCATATGTACAATGCCTGTATACTTGTGGAATATATGAAAGATTATGGAACAACTATTTGAGTGCCAACTTTTTAAAATACTTGCTAGAAGTCAGAGAGACAAATATTTTATCTCTGTTCTTAATGAACTCATAAGCCAGTGGGAAAGACAAACTTCTCCACAACTAAATGCAGGAAGCCAAAGAAAGGGACCTGGGCAGGTACTGAGGATGAACTTGGGGATGTAGTGAACACATAAAAATTCACCATATTTTAATATCTCTTCTGTGGTTTTCATAATACACACACATGATTCAGTCTTATATTGCACATTGCTCACTAATTTTTTTAGCATAATCTAAATCTATGCTTCTCAAACTAATGTACACACAAATCACCCAGGATCTTGTTAAAATGCAGATGCATCTTCAATAGGTCTGGAGAAGGGCCCAAGTTTCTGTATTTCTCACAAGCACCCTGAGAACCAGTAATGCTGGTTCACAGACCACACTTGGAGTAGCAAGGCTCTAAACCATTGTTATGTCAACTATTCATATAAAAGCTGTTGAGTGGCCCCAGATTTTGGAAAAACTCCCACTATGCCCCATCTAGTAAAATTGAGTATGATGAAAGTTAACACTAAGAGGTAAATTCAGCAGTGGCCAGAAAAAACTGGCCTGATGCCTCGAAATTGTATCTTGGCCTTTGTCTTATTGTTTAAATAGGAAAGGTCTTTGTTCCAGTACTTTAGGTCTCTGTTGCTACATGCTTATAGTCAGAGTGTGTAGCAAGGTTTTCCCAAATATTCAAGAGTACTTACTATTCCTGCTTTACTCTCCTCCATATTTAACCCACAACATCCCAGGCCCTTTTTGTAAATAGAAATAACTTTTAGCAAAACTTTATGATTTTAATCATTTTAAAAACTATAAGGACAATATTTCTTCAATAAAGTTTTTTTGAAAAAAGCAAAAAACAAAAAACAAAAAACAACTCTAAGGGCCAGCAGTTGGCATAATGGCTATGTCGCTGGATTCCTATATAGTCAACTACGGTTCGAGTTCTGGACCTGGTGACTTGAACTCACACCAGGCGCATGTACATGTGTGCCCAAGATCCCAAGAGGAGAATGGAGGAGAAGGGCTTGCAGCATGGCCATCCCCCATGGGGGGGGTGATTTCTTGCTTTCTGTCTCTGTTTCTCTCTTTCTGGTGAGTGCATGCGCCTTATAGCAAAATCCTCTCAAAAAAAATATATAAATAACTCCACAAATGGACCCATGGAAATCTATTTTCTTATTAACTCTTAAGGGTTCATGAGACAGCATCTGTTAACATTTCAATTAATTAGTGTCTGTCACTTACCATAAAAATGAAAGCTCATTAGATTGCTAGTTTCTCATTTTGCAGTTTTGAGTTTTTCTACCAAGTCAAGATCCCTATTTAAATTTGTTTTCTTTTTTAGTCTTCTTCCTTATATCATCATTCTCCAGTATTATTCTGGCCAGAACTAAGTGCCTTGTGTGTATATTTTCCCAATCTTATGGAGAAGAGGTCACAACTCTTCCTGTCTGCTCTTCAACTTTCCCTTATTACATTAATACACTAAGAGGCAGTCTTTATTACTTGGACTCCCCTTGAATATTTAGTTTTTGTCTCATTTTCCTTGGCAGTAGAAATGAACAGAAGTGGACCTGTTTTCACCAGGCAGGATGTGTGGAAGATGATGGAAGCCTTTGCTCAGAAAATGCCATAGTCTGGAGACTAATTGATATGACCTTTCTCCCTTCTTATCTGCTGTGGCCTTATTTAGATTAATGCCAAAGATGATGATGGTGTCCTTGTTGGATCCTGGGACAATATCTATGCCTATGGCGTCCCCCCATCTGCTTGGACTGGAAGTGTGGACATTCTTTTGGAATACCAAAGCTCTGAGAATCCAGTCCGATATGGACAGTGCTGGGTTTTTGCTGGTGTCTTTAACACATGTAAGTATTCAGCTGAGTAATTTTTTTTTTTAATGTAAAGGAAATTTCACTTCAAGACATTTTGTCTATAACCTGGCAGAGAGACTTAGCAGCCTCTGTTGGCTCTATAGAATTTATGGATGAATATTCTGGGATGTAGTCAATGCATAATTAAATTGTACTGGGCCAACTATGCTCATGGTTTTCTCTGTAACTGCAGAATCTGTATAGAAATAATGACGAATGATTTTTCCACAGAACTCATCACTTAGAAATGGAGGGTCACAAAGGCTAAGCAACGATATAGGGAAAAGATAAGACGTTTTCTTTTTAGTAACCACATCCGAAAAATATTAAAATAGTAAAACTAAAATAAGAGATAAGATATATACTGTGTGCTATTGAGAAGTTATATAAATAAATAGGTTCATGTGCTTATTTGTTGTTGAAAAAATTTTGTAAATACAATTTTCATCCCAGCTATGAAGGGATGTGCAGGTGGTCTCATCTCCATTTTTACATGTGAGTCTCAATGCCCCTGAGCAATTAGATATCAGAAGATAATGAGCAATCTTTACCTCCAGTTTCCCCTCTGGTTTGAAATCCACCCAAAATCCAATCTGTAGAGGAAAACATATGGGAATAGAATTATTCTGTTCAGCCTCAGGCATCATTTTTCAAAATGGCATTTGCTTCTCTAGGCCCTGACAACGTTACAGTTAATTCAGTGAATATTTTTAAAAATGCATTTATTTCAGTATGTCTTCATCATTGGTAATGATTTTCATTCACATGCCATTTCTACAACCTTGGAGAAACATTAAGCTCACATCAGATTGTCCTCTCTGCTTACTCATTAATAAAGAATGTTTTACCTAGTTTGCATTTTTTAAATTAAAAAAAAAAAGGGGAGAGAGGGGCTGGAGGTCTAGATGGAGCTATTTGATTATTAATATGCAATCTACCAGTTTTAGCTCAACTTTGCAAGCGTCTAAGACTTAGTGATCCAACTGGAAGGAAACCATGAGTTTTATTTTATTTCCTTATGGTATCAAACTGATTAAAATTGTTTTCTTTATTCTTTGAGTAGACCAAGGAATAAAGGAATATATATTTCCCAAAGTAAGAAAGGCCAAAAGTATCAGCCTCCTAGAAGTGCTGGGCTCTGAAGTTCTAGTGAGAAATCCCAGCATCGTGATGTGCTGAAGGCTGGCATTAGCCCTTCTACCTCAGAGCTCCTATGCCAAGGCTACACAGAGGTCATTCTTGTCAAATGACTTCAGGAAAACAGAAAGAACATAATTCCTCCTTGTATCCATAGTTTCACTATCCCAGTGTAATTCCTTTGGGTTTAGAGCCAGATAAAATAGTGAACACCTTACAGCCTTTTGCATAAAAGGGTCATCAGCCCTATGCTTGAAAACAGGTTTTGATAGTACATTAAGAAAAGGTGGGCACACCCCATTGAGAGGTCCCAATGAGAGTAAAACTGAAGAGGGAAATTGGAGGGAAGAAAGAACAAATGCCCCAAAGTCACGCTTCTTCTGTCTTAGAAGTACCAGTAAGGTAGACTCTAGGACAAGTCTCATTCTGTGATAATGTGAGTTAGTGTCAAACCAGAAGGAGAATGAAAGTGCCAATCATTTTATCAGTAAGGCTGTGGGTAAACAGGGGTTCCAAGCCAAATGAGGAAAACAAGAATAGGAGGCTATAGGTCACTACCACTGTTGTTGTTTGGGATGTTAAGATCAAGTCATTTAAGATAGAGGACACATGAGTGTCTCAACACACTCATGTTGAGATTTCCAAGGTTGTTCTGTTAAAGGAGGTGGATAGCCTTTGGTTAAAAATGCTAAACTATTCTAAGGGAGAAGAAAAAAAAAAAGGCAAGCCAAGTCATTAATCTTAAAATTGTCAGCTGAATTATTTTCAATGAGCCCTGATGTCTGGCGTCCTGGGAGCCAGAGAGGGCATTTGGATTAAGTTTAATCAATAGGTACATATGGCAAGAGATGCATCCAGGAAATTTATTATCTAACAATTAAAATGACTCTGTGGTGTCACCCTCCAGTGAGTATCACAAGAACAAATTCCAGCAAACCTCACTCAGGGCCTGTGCTACAAATTCTGAACTTCTTATTAGCTGGTATTTTACTTAATTTTTAGAAACACAGTACGATCGGTTAAAATAATACTGCCTTGATGTTCGTATGAAGTAACTAAAGCCCTGTTACTGGAATTTTAGTCCAGTTGTTTTCATTTAGCACTGACTGAGTTCTGAAGGACCACACAGTAAGATGTTTATCTATAGTCCTATCCAGTTAAAGTCACCTTCTGTAGTGTAGAACGTTTGAGAACAGTCCCAAAGGGGCTTTTCATGTTGATAAAGATGGAAGTCCCTACAAGAAGGGATTTTTTTCACTACGTATTTATTGAATTTTGGTGGCGAGCTTAGATGTGATCTGTCCTTTCCTGCAGTTTTACGATGCCTTGGAATACCAGCAAGAGTCATTACCAATTATTTCTCAGCCCATGACAATGACGCCAATTTGCAGATGGATATCTTCCTGGAAGAAGATGGGAATGTAAATTCCAAACTCACCAAGGATTCAGTGTGGTGAGTTCTTTACAAAGGTGTTTGCTGGAATCAAATGATGAGAATACACATTGACCACAATGCAGACTCGGTCTAATGTTTTTATCCCTTCCATGGGAAGGATCATTTCATTCCACACCATAAATGTCTGATGCTCAAATTTTTTTAGCTAATGAATTAGAAATGTTACTAAACAGGTATTTTGGATTCTTTTTTTTTTTTTTAGAGGTTTTTGCTATAGGGTGCTTGCACTCACCAGAAAGAGAGAGAGACAGAAAGCCAGAAATCACCTCCCAAGGGTGCCACACCACAATCTCTTCTCCTTCATTCTCCTCTCGGGATCTTGGGCACACATACACATGTGCCTGGTATGAATTTAAGCCACTGGGTCCAGGACTCGAACCGCAGTTGACTACATGGGAGTCCAGCTACATAGCCATTACACCTACTGCTGGTCCCTGGATGCTTAGTAATAGAAATTGATCAGCATTATGACAGCAACCACCAAAAGAGGCCATGGTTTTAGCTGTGACATGCGCTTGTATTCATTCTTCTTTACTTCAGTGGGTTAATATTATGGTTGATGGCAGAGATATTGGAGCCAAGCATGCCCTAGGTTAGGGCCCAAGAGTGACAGCACTAAATTTATTAAGCACTCACCCAAAGAAAGTCCATTTTTCCTTAGGACCCCCTCTCACTCCAAGTCAATACACTAAGAAAGAGGAGAAAAAAATATCCTAAAAGTCTAAATTGAAAGAATATTTAGAAAGGTCTATGTTGAAGGAAATTGGGGCATAATTTTAGTGCTGCCAGGAATTGATCTAGGTGGAATTTCTAAGCCAAAAATGTGTCTCATACAGTTGTTCTTTATAAGTAATAAAGCTAAAACAATGTCAGTTGTAAAAGCATCCAAATGGGAATGGTGGGAAGTTATAAGCTCATTTTAAGAGAAATTAAAAGTTAGAAATGCCTGAACTCCCCTGTGGTCCAGGAATGGATCACGGTTGCAGGAGCACTATTAGCTCGCCGGTACCGGTAAATGCTCATTTGAGAATGTTGAAAGAAGGAAATTGCTGAACTAGTAGCAAAGTGCTACTGTGAATAAAAAATAGTGCAGTTCATTTGAAGGGAATGCACTGAGCCGTAGTAAGCGGGTGAGCATGGGTGAGACAGAGCCTCACCTCTGAATGGCAATTTAGAGAGCCATTTAAGCCCGCGGAATTACAACATGGCAGCTCGGTGTGCGTGCAGAATGACAAAAACAGACCAAAATAGCTGCCCCTTAAGCCCGTGTGACCATCAGAAACTACAAAATGAGAATTATTTGGCATTCTCCACTCCATATTTCTTCCACACACATGCACGCACATGCACACACACACACACACACACTACCTTTATAGCCAACTGCAGTTCAAAGTTATTCCTCCTTGCATCTTGATCCAGTTACCTCTCTTCGTAAGTCCCCACAGAGCACCCAATAGAATGGATATAACATTGAGAAACTGACCCGTCTTGTTCTTGGTGACACCTTCTTTTTTCAGCTTCTTGGTCTGCACTCCTTGCCCTGTCCTTGACAACTTTTGCTCCTTTAGTGCCTTCTTCAAGTATCCTGTCACCCTGAGCCCAAGTTCTCCACTCTGAGGGCTGCCTCTACCCTCTACTGTAGACCATGCCCTGGGCTCCTCTTCTCTCCCTTTGCTTGACCGTTAGTGGGTTTTCACTATATGATGACTCATCTGTCAGATTGGCTGATGCCCAGACCATGGAACACAGAGATTAAAAACTTTAGTCAGGCCTGGGACCAAGGCTAGGCTCTGCCATTGACCGGCTGTGTGACCTTGAGCAAGGTACAACCTCTCTGTGCTTCTTTCCTCCTCTAAACCAGAGACAACAAAATTCCCTACCTCATTCAGCTCAGAGCCAAGTGTAACAGGTGCCTAATGAATGTAACTGTTATTACTGCCTCCTTATTAGTCACACAGCTGGAGTTTCTTAGAGGCAATATGTTACCACTAACCTAAGTACATTGAGGCGGTCAGAAAAATAGGGGTGCCCAGTGTCCTAAGATGACAGCGCCACTTCGAACACCTTGAAATGTTTCTAAATGAGAAGAAGGAAATGATGCCTTCAAACGGTGTGCACCAGAGAAGCTATAGGTGTTCCAAGAAGACAAGAGTGTGTCTGAGAACTTCCTGGATTGAGGAGGCAGATGCAGGCTGTCCTGGACGCATCAACCAGCAGCCACTGAAGCGACCCTCCTGTATCAAGCTCTGGTCTAGGCAGTTCACTCGCTCTGTGACCTTGAGAAAATTATTTCACCTGTCTGAGCTTTGGTTTCCCCATGAGCTGTGTGAGGATAATCTAGGTAGTTTCCAGCTTTTGATGGAGATCAATTATGGACATGGAGGTGAAATATTTAGCATAGTGGTAGGTATGATACTTAGTAGCATAGTACTGAATGCTGGTAAGAAGTAGGGACTGCCTGAGCTACAGGGATAACAAGCAAGGGAGGGCTGGGCCATTAAAACTAACTCTGACTGAGGTAAGGTTGGAAATGACATCCTGGGTGTCAGCCAACTACTAAGAGGCCCATGCAGCCTAGCTGGCTACACGTGGCCTGATGTATTTCTTAGCAAAGGGTCTCAGAAATGATCAGCCTCATTCAAGGCCTCCCTCTTCCATTCCCTCCCAGGCTTCAGTCAAACAAACACAACCCAGCCCGTCCTCTTGTCTGTGGGTCGTGTGGTGGTTCCTGTCCCTTCTCCTTTCTCAGTGAAGGATGCCATCAGAGTGATCACTCTCGTGCATGCCACCATCTCCTCAACACATAGATCCCAGTGGCCCATGGGTTGTGATGATAATATATCCAGTGAGGTCTTAGGAACCAGGGTGTCCTCTTCTCCATAATTTGGCCAAGGACCCGATTTCCAGAAATAAAAATAAACCAGTGCCCAGAGGTTCAGAGGCAGAGCTCAGGCATGGGTGAGATGGGACCAGATGGTGCACAGCAGTAAAACATGATAGTCTGTGAGCTGATCGCATGGGAAGGTGCTGGATTCACATTTGTAGAGCAACCTGATTACTCAGGACACATGGGTGTCTTGGATCCAGGCTGGCTGAGGCTGGGGGTGAATCTCAGTGTGGCAACCCAATAGAGTCACCATGTCTCCTTTAGTCTGTCTGTGTCTCTTGCTCGTGTGTGAACAAAATAAATAAATGAACCTAAAAAAATGTATGAGCTAGCATGTACTCCAAAGCCTGGGGACAATGTTTACATTCTGTCCCTTGTCTGACTCCTCTCCTGGCGACCACAGGTCATCAAAGACAGACTGCTTATTCTCCTACTTTCTGGTTTGCCCTCTTAGGTCCCCTCCATGTTGGATTTCCCCTCTGAGAGCACCTCCCCTCACAGGGGCTGTAAATTTGCACAGAGCAGACATACCTTCCATGCCAAGAGAGAGCACAGTCTGGAGCCCTTCGCAGCTCAGGCAAGGGAGGGGCTGAGGAACCTCAGAAGGGCACAGCAGGGCAGAGTAATTGGACCCCAGGGTAGCAAATGAAATTCCAAGTGGGCAAACGCCAAGGCATCATATCCTAGAAGGAGCAATTTAAGCCGCCTGTCCCCAGCGTGCTGATGGGTTCTGAATTATGTGTAACCTCTTGGGGAAGGCATCTATGAATCACTGTGGACAGTTTAATGAAGATGCTTGCTCAATGTTTAGCTGCAGTCCAAGCAATGAATAGGACTACGAAGGCTCATTGAGGGGGGAGAGGCAAGGCTCGCTCAGATGGGCAGGGGAAAGGCAGTGTGATCACCTCATTATACGAAGGTCATCATGGAAATGGAAACAATTTTAAAAGACAGCAATGGTGGCACTTGTTAGGGTCATGAAAAGTACTGCAACGAAAGGCTTCGCTGCTTCCACCGAAAGCGTTACTCTGTGGCCTTTTGCTGGAGTGAACATAGTCTGATCTGAAGATTCTGGGCAGAAAACTGTGCCCTCCTCTTGACTTTTCCCCTCCAAAATGCAACCCTCACAGGGAGCGGTGTCTGATCTATTTTAATTTTGTTTGTTTTGCCAGCATGTAACAGCATGCAGGGCATAGACCAAGCACTGGATAAATGGTATTGGTTGGAAAATTTAAAAATGCTCACCAAACTGAATAAATATCATTTCATCATCCAACAAACCCTTTCTGTGAAGTATTATGGCTGAAGACCAGATGTTAAGGATTCAGAGAGATATTAATCAGGGTCGCTGCCCTTGAGGAGATCTGTCCAGTGTTTATAGGGAAGAAAAAAAATCATTTATAGAACACCCTCTAAAAATATAAGTGGGTTATCTTGTAAGCTGGGACTCACAGAGACTAAGGGAAAGGATTCTCATCATAATCCCAGGGAAGCAAGGCTGTTCACCTGGGAAGGGCCATGGAGTCAAAGCTATTATCCCCTCCAATCTCCTGGCTGTGCTGTTCAAAGATGGAATGCCTAGGAAATGTCCTTAGCCCATAGCTGACACTAGGGACTATGACAATAAAGGTCTAGGGATGAAATGAGGCAACTAGTTATCAATCTGCTTTGAGGACCAGACAGGCAGGAATGGAATTTCATCCAGAGTTATCATGCATTATTCTGACTATAGTTGTTGAATATTGAAAATGACGCTCATGGTCTAGCTTTTGCCACTCCTTCTGCAAGACAGTAAGAACCACTGGCTCTTTACGCTGTCTGCTTGAAGGGGCTAATGCCCCCAGGCTGTGCACACCTAGAAGCAGATGGAGTTATGACTATGGGTGGAAAAGGGTTGCTATTATCCATTTATCACCATCTCTCCTGCTTTTCACCTTCTGGGCACTGTTTCATTCAAAGTTTTATTTCTGGCATGATAAGCTCACCCTGGCACTTAGTTTCAGAGGGTCTGACAGTCCACAGTCTTTCAATTTCCCCTCAGAACAAATAGCTTCCCTGCCCACTGTTTCTGGACTCTGTGACCAGCCCTAAGCTCTCCCTCGTGTGC